GACCGTGTGCATCCGGTCCGTGTTGCGTCCGGCCCGGCCGACTGGACGCAAAAAAAGAATAGTAAAAAAAATTTTAAAAATTATTTACAAAGTAAAAATATATATATAAAAAAAATACATTGTCAATCTTCAATGTATTGCCGATGTCATGATATTTTTTTGGTATTTTGTTGAAATTTTTTTTACGGTCAAAAGAGCCGTAGAAAATCGAAAGGAAAAAAGTAGAGAGAGATAGTACTGAAGGGCAAAATCGTCTAAGGGGCGGTGACTAGTAAAAACGGAGGTGGTAAATCGTAATGTCAAAAAAAACTGCTGAGTTTGGTGACATATTTGCTTACGTAAGAACGCACCAATGATTGATTGCAAGAACCTTGTCCTGTCCTCCGGCTCGCCAGTCCTTACCTAAAAGGCCAAGTGCATTTCTGAGCCCCACAAAATTTAGGCTCGGACAAACTGGGTACCATTATTCAGGCTAGGATGAGCTCGATTATGGATAGTGCCCACATGAAATTTATTTTCGTTTGATCAACATATACCCACACCACAACATGACATAATTCACCAAATCGTGACCAAAAAGGAAAATTGTATTTCTGAGTTCCAAAAAAGATTAGGTTCGGACAAGTTTGGTACCATTATTCAGGCTCGGATGAGCTCGATTATGGGTAGTGCCCACATGAAATTTATTTTCGTTTGATCAACACATACCACAGGTCCACATGACATAATTAATTCACCAAATCGTGACCTAAAAGGAAAAGTGTATTTCTGAGTTCCAAAAAAAATTAGGTTCGGACAAGTTTGGTACCATTATTCAGGCTCGAATAATTTAACAAGACGTTACCTAAAGCCAAGTGTATTTTTGAGTTCCACAAAATTTAGGTTCGGACAAGTTGGGTACAGTTGTTAAGGCTCGGATGAGCTGGTACCATCAGTTAATTCCTTCCTACTCGAACGGGTAGTATCAGGTTCATTATCGTTTGATCAACACATACTCGTCTCGTATGACGTGACTCACCAGATCTTAATTCCTTCCTGCCCACTCGGGATTTATTATTGTTGAATCAACACACACTCACATAAATATACATTCAAGAGTGTGTGTGTTTGTGTTATCAAATGGTGATAAATTTAGGAGTAAAGATAAACAAGATTCACAATTATTAATGAATTTTTCATACATAGTTTTATGAATCATTCAAATGAAAAACCATTTTTATCCATTTCCCATTTACCAGAAATCAGCCTCAAGTTATAACACAATCGCTAAAACTAAAACATCCCACAAAACACAGAGAAAGAGAGATAGAAAAAAAAATTCCAAAATTTGATTATTACTTCATGTCTCGGGTTAACAAGTCTCGGTCGCTGCATAGACCTCATAGTTCGATACAATGTATAAGTTACTAGCTACTATGGTAAGCTCTAAAGACAACTGAAAAAAAAAACAAAAAAAAAAAAAGGGACCTTTCACGTGGTCACCAAGTGGGGCCCGGACCCTGCAAACGGAAGCATGCACGAGTAAGTCACGTACTTGACGCTGTCGATGAGCACAACTACGAAAATCCGAGAGAGTGACTTGGTCCCCATCACGCCGTCCACGTCAGCATCCCCGGACTCCCGAGGATCGAACAGAACCGACACCACCATTGATGACGTGCTTTTGTTCCCGTCGAGGTTTTCTTTCTCGGGATTCACATTAGTACGAGGTTGTTCGGTGGATATGTTGTTGTTGGGGTAAGGTTCGGGAAGATGGATGGGATGGAGGATCCTCCGGTTTTTTGCCTTGTTTGGGTTTGTGGAGTTTTGAGTTTCGACTTTAGATATGTTTGGGGAGGCTGGGATTATGGCTCCGGCTGACGAGACGTCGAACTGGAAGACTTCGGTGCATAGGCCGGAGCTTAACATTGGCCCTGAGGATAGTGAAAAGGACAATGTAAACAGTGTACAAAACTAGAAATATACAACATGTTGTATTGTAATAAAGATGAACATTAGCCATGTTCGTCCCAAAAAAGGAAAAGAAAAAAAAAAAAGAAATATGTGGTCATTTCTGTGTTTAATTGTACATTCCCTCTGTTTTTAACTATGTGGGACTGGAATCGAGAAGATCATAAGTCTCGACTGAGAATAGTATTCGTTCGTTCTTACAAAAAATTGGCAGACCAGATATGTCAATAACAACCAGTCTTCGATTTCTGCTTTTAACCAACACAGCAAGTAATCAATCACTGTCAAAATAATATGAAGCTTCATTGTAGACTCCAAGAAAATCGATCATGAGGCAAAAATTTCAGACAATATTTGACAATTGCTCTTTTAAAACAACAAGGTATTTACGCTTCAAATACTGGCAAACCTAAAACTGACTGACAACCCAGATTTAAGGAAAAAAGAATGTTTAATGCAATGTTGCTTATTAGTTTTACCAAAATGCCAAAATTTAACCAACTATTATTATTACCTGCAAGGCCTTCACGAAACCATTGCTGAAGGCTCCCATCACTAGCTGTTGACTTCACACCATCCTCATCCCCCGAACTAGAACCAAGAGCCCTTAACTGTACATGCCTAGCACCACCATTGATTCCCACACCCTGAACAGTTCTTGAAGAAGCCAAATCCCTCGGGACTACAAGACCCGTCTCACTGCCTCCTTTCCCATTAGACGAAGCCATTGCTTTTTCGCTCGCCAAAACCGAGTGGATAATCAAATTCCCATCTATCTTAACCATCCTATCATTTCTAGGTACATACAATGATGCAGAAAGTGATTGACTCCCATTTCTCGACGGAACAAATTCATCCGCCGCACTTTTTTCACCATACTCTGTCCCATTCACCATCAAAACCCTCCCACGGTATCTCATATAACCATCTCCACTAATAAACGCCTCCCTAAAACCTCCGTACTGCACGTTGAACATCGGCAATAACCCACCGAACAACATTATGAAAAACAGCAGACCCAAGAAACTAACACTCGCTACCTTCTTTGTCTTTGGCCCCTCGTTTTTCCTGATCTCCGATGATTTCTTGCTCGGTTTTGCTGGTTGAAGCTTCGTCTTCAACCTCGGGATGGGAACAAGAGGCACTTGTGAACCTTGCGGTTTCACCATGAAAGGCGGCGGTGGGCACGGCATCCATGGGTACATCATGGCTGGATGAGGAGGATAAGCTCCGGGAGGCGTTGGGGCTGCCGGAGCTCCAGCGACAGCACCACCACCACAGCCTATTTGCTGGCGAAGAGTCGCGTTTTCAGCCATGAAGTATGTGATTTTACCGTTCAGGTCTTGAATGGTTGAGTGCATGGCCCTTACCTTCTCCTCCAACTCCTCCACGTAATGTTTCTTCCTCTGTCGGGATAATTGGGCGCTCTCCCGATTTCTCAGCAATCGAGCCTTCCTTTTCTCTTCATCTTCACTGAAAACTCCATTAGTGTTGACACTAGTATTGTTATTCTCTACACTACAGCTAGATTTTCTATACTTGCTAGTCCTAAACTCGATGTCATCGTTAGTATTCGACAAATCTTCGCTGTCGTTTTTTCTTTTCAGCGAAGAAATAGTACAGTTAACATTAGCAGGCTCCTCTAATTTGATCTTCTGATCAACAACGCCGGTCCTAATTGAACAATTGCTTGAATCGGGCGAAGAGCTTACCGATCGGTTCGGGGTATTATCTTCGGAAACATTGGACACAAAATCACCGAAACCCTCGTATTCAGGCGAATTGCATTTTAATACCTTCTCATCGGCATATCCGCTGCAATTCTCAGCACTGGCGCGATTCGATCCGTTCGATTCCGGCGACGGCATGTTGAGATAGCCGGAAATCTGCTGAGACTCCATCTCCGGTGAAGAGGAACTCAGAACGCCGGAAGGTCCGGAACCCTCCCAGCTCCGATCGCCGTGAAAATCGCCGTCCTCTTGAAAATGACTCAATTCCCGAGACGCCGATTTGAAAACCGAGTGGAATCGGTCGAAATTCGGCGAGATTTGGGCGGAATCGGGAGGGTCCGATCCGGATTGGGAATCGGGTTGCAGCATTGGCTCGAGGAGGTGGTCAAGGTCGTCGGAGATGGGGAAGCAGAGGTCGTCGAAGGAGAAATCGAAATCGAGGCCCTCGAGGACCCCGCCGCCCTCGATCAGGAGGTGCTCGTCGAAGAAGTCGGCATCGAGGGGCGGGTTGTGGAGGCAGGGGTCGAATTCTCCGGTGGGGCACGGCGGAGAGTGCGGAGGCGGCTGTGGATCGACGGCGACGGCGACGGCCGCCGGCTCGGCCATTTTGCTCACAATTGTTTTTGTGGGAATCGTTGTGCAGAGGACGTTTGGGCTTTTTCCATGGAGAATTTTTGTTCACGGGCTTTTTCTAGGAAGAGACTCGGGAAGAAGTGTAACGAGTAACGACTGTGATGATGTGTTGTTACACGCGCTAACAGGGGAGAGTGTGTACACGCTTTCTCAATTGAGATTTTGACCGAGTTAGACCGAGTCCATTGTTACCCGGCCCAAATAGCTCACCAGAACCAGTCCAACTTCGGGTCAGTCGGGTCCCGGAGTCGACCTGCCGGATCTGCCCGAGTTGAAAAGCAATGACTAGGAGATTACTAGCCTTATCTCCAAAAATCCCATGAGATTTTCATGTTGCAGTTTAGAAAAATAACATCATTTTGAAAAAAGGGCCAACTTTATTAAAGTATTGAATTATATTTAAGAGAGTACATTTTGAATTATAATCACATCACGTAAATCTCATTAATGATACTTAATAGCCCTAATTGGACACACTAATTACGAGAGAATCTGTTTTGTCTTTTCCGAATCTTTTTGTTAATTGGACTTTGGGATTTTCTTTTCTCCTTTGATGATTTTAGAAAATTACGTAATTACATAAAGTCAGTGTAAAGAGATACGAGATTTATACTTATGGGGAAAATAATCTTGACTATAGAAATGTTGCATAGAATTCTTTATTTTGGTGTAACTAAGATGCTTCCTATCTAAATTGTGGCTTTGGTAATAACCAACATATATATGCAGGTTGATAGTTGATAAGCTGACTTATAGCTTATCAGTAATTTTTTAGCTTGTGATTTATAGTTGAAAAATTAATTTATATGATAAAAATATGTGGTAAAATTAGCTGATAAGCTAACTGAAATAAATATTTTAACAAACTTACTTGAAAAGTTATTCAAACAAGGTTATGAGAGAAGTTCGAGCTTTTTATAAATGAGTCAAACTACCAAATAAATTTTATTTCAAGACAAGAAACTTATAAGCTAACTAATTATAAGTTTGTTTATGGGTAGTGTTGTTAAATTAAACGTGCCTGGCTCGGCTCGAGCTCGGCTCGGTTAGGCTCGAGTTCGAAGCCTTAACGAGCCGAGCTCGAGCTCGTTTGGTTAACGAGTCGAGCTCGTCTCGGCTCGATAAGGGTCGTTAAGGCTCAAAAAGTGAAAATTATATATTTTTTATAGTTCGACTTGTTAAAGCTCGAGATTGGCTCGTTAAGGCTCGAGTTCGAGCTCAAACACCTTAAGCTCGAGCTCGACTCGACTCGTTTACAGCCCTAAGTAGGGTATTAAAATACTTTCAAAAAGTACAAAATTTATCTATTAAAAATAAAAAAAAAAAATCAATAATCCTCACTTTTTTACTTTAAATATTTTCTTTTTAATTAATTAGTAGACACTTTCAACAATTTGCAAAAACTTGAGCCAAAATTGTCGTCATATTTTTCAAAGTTCATTTGTAAGCGCGTGAAACACCAAAATTCCAAAGGT